CCCCAAAACCCCAAAACCCCAAAACCCCTCAATTTCAAATTAATAGGAATTAGGATCGAATTAAAAAAGAACTATTTAATCATCTTTTCCTATTATTCACTGGTGCTCCAGAGAGCTTCTTCACACCTTCACTTAAATCCCCAAGTGAACCCATCATTTTTTCAATTTCCTTGAGATCATTCTTTGCCTTAGCGGAGAGATTCTTGCCCTTTGCGAATTTTCCTAGAAGTCCAGATTCCTCCTCAGTCTCATAACTGTTATTCTTTCTCTTGTAAATTTGGTAGCCAATTACTAGCAAGAATGCGACAATGAACATAGGGAATTTAAAGTTGAAGTTCTCAAACATGGAGTCATGCTTTACTTATGGAGCAAGGCATTCATATAGGATAAGTTAATTTGGATTTTTAGGAGATCTGATTGCTAATGCATTTGCGTATGTGATCTTTGTCTCAGCTAATTTAGTGGCAGAACTAAAATCAATATCTAGATCACCTTGGAATCTAGGTTAGTATCTTAATGGTAAAATGCCTCTTTAATTATGTGCTGCAATTAGAGAATAAATATCAGTTGTATTGATCTATTCATAAACACCATCTTGAGAAAAAAGGATAATACTTCCTTTAACAGCTCTAAAATCATAAGGAATTGTTTTATTAGTCCTAATCATCTCTTGTTGAAGATTTGTTTGTAGTTTTCCAATAATTTTACACTCTATTGCATCAATTTTATGTACAACACTGTGTGATTCAAACACCAAAATCTCTCCAGTCTTTGTTCCAGCATAAATTATTCCAGAAAATGTTTAATCTAGATAAGCACCAATAATTTAACGATTCAAACCAGCATCACACATAACTCCACCAGCAGATGAGTCTAGGAATTTGATATAGCCCACTCTTCTTTCATTTGAATATATCACATTAACAGAATGTTTTGCCATGTTGTTAATAAGCTTTGAACCACTAAAGAATCTAGATCTGAAGCCACCATCTCTCATTAAGATGGTGAAGTAACCTTAAGAATCAGCAAAAATAAAGAATTTCTCACCCTTACTCACATATATAAGAAATTCTTTGAAGCCATTATTAGGCTCTACATACTGTGGATACCCGTGAGAAACTAAAAGTTGATCCATATTAATGATTGTAGGCTCATTTGTACGATAGCTGTAAATCTTTAGGAGAGACTTATACTTTGCTGTATCATCAGATGGAGGTTACTTCTTTTACTTCTTTTTGTTTTTACTACTAACTTTAGAATCATCAAACTGAGCGATTGAGTCAAATGAATCTTGTGAAGGCTAACTTTCATCAATCAAATGTCTTTAATGAGGGTGTTTCTGATCTTCATTATTCTATGTTTCATTATCAGACTTATTTTATCTTGCTTTTTCAGAAAGCTCTTAGTACTTATCTTTTTGATATTAGAATTTTCTTTCAAGGATAACATCATAGATATAGAACTAGTTATCTTTGGTTAGGACACTAATAAACATATCATCTTGCAATGGTGAAGCAGCTATTTAGACAATTTATTTTCTGCTCTCAGGGTTGCCAACATGGAAATCCATCAAGAGATTGCCAAATAAGTCATATACTTTGACCTAACCTGATTCTAATCCAACTGCGATAGCAGATGAAATTAGCAGTCCATTTGGTGATTTTCCTAGTGGCTTGATAGTGATGAACTCATAAGCGACTATCTTTTCAGTCTCAGTGTAATAAATCTTTTCAATAAAAGGATTCAGTCTGAAAGTTTGTTCCAGCTCTTCACTTTTTGCTTAATTGCTTATTTTCTAATATGCTTCCTCATTCATTAATTAAATATTATTCTTTTAGATATAGTAATCAAGATCACTGCTTGATAAAAGTAGGTCATGATCATCTAAGGTTGAGTTAAGCTGGTGTAGCTCTTTCATGACACTTATCTTGTCCTCATAAAGAGATATCAAACTCTTTAATTCCTGAATTTCCTCACTCATCAAATCATTGCTAGTAGCAGGATTATTTTAACTACTCACAATAGCAAGTGAAGCTAGTGAAATAAGTATTAAGGATACTAATATCTTCGAAGTTTTCATATAGCCCTTTTTAAATTAATTATTCGACATTTAAATTGATTGACTAAAATTTACTAAAATTAATTATAATATTAAAATAGGATCTAACTAATGAACAAAAGCCTGATCACACTTTTGATAATAATTGGAACTCTGAATTCGATTAAATGTTCAAACATTAATGCAGTTGATATTGGAGATGATATTGTCCTTTTTTTAAAAGGTTTCCTAGTTGGAAGTATTTAGCAGGATCTTAATGAACTTAATAAATGCGATTTTAAACATATGGGAATGATCACTACTTACAAAGAAGCCTTAGAAAAATTCAAAGGAAAGAAGTTAGACACAATTATTGATGGACTCAAGTTGATGGCTAAATTTGTAGGTGAATCACTTGTTGACTTGGGTCTATGCCCAGGAGTTAGAGACTCTGTTATGCATTTGAGTGCCAGACTTATGGAATTAACTAATCCTATTAATTTTGTCAGAATTGCAGGTAAAAACGTAGTTATCCACAGCTTTCAAATTATTGATAATGTTAATTAAGGAGTTCAAGCTGAGAAAGATCATGATCATTTTGAATTTGGAAGAAGAATCGGTCTAGCAATCGCTCTTTTGATTAATTGAGAGCTGTGCAGCATGAATTATTTTGAAACGATTTCTCTATAAAGCCTTCAGGTATTAATCAAGCAATTATCAAATTTCATTTATTTGACAATTAAATTGATAATCAATACTATTTGAAATCGATGCAAATCCTCAAATTCTTCTGATGGGGTTTTGGGGTTTTGGGGTTTTGGGG